CGATTGCGAATCAGTTGGTATACTTGTCATATGTCTTAATGAATCACACAATATGCATGTTGTTACAAAATGTCGTTCTCTAAATGAGTGGATGCAGGAAGTGTGTTTTCATTAGGTGTGAAGTGGGTAGCTCGGCTGTATCTGAGATCCATGTTCAAGAGCTCTGACTGGCATGTGTACCACCGCTTTAATTGTCCTCACACGAACACTTTTAACCAGGCCAATCATCGTAGTCTTCCAATTAGCGTAATTAGCTATAATGCACCTTCCATTAAGATCAGAACTCGTGTCATCATCGAGTATGGTTAAAAGTCTCAGCTGCGACCTAGATGAAACTGGCTTGGAAATAATTTCAATCAAACGCAGTTACCTGGTCAGGTATGAAACATTTATTTCCCCTTATGAGTTACGTTTGTTACGCAACCGTCTTACCATTTTGATAAATAACTTCCAATTCCTCTTGTCGTTTGTCAAAATTATCCTCTCTAATAAAGTAATATATAGCCTTTATTATGGAAAGTATCTCTACTGTGTGAATCGATTGTTGTCTCTTCTTCTCTTTATAAGAGAATAGTCCTCTTAACATTATTGCAATCTTCCTTTCTTTGATGTTTACTTTTCCTTGTTATCTGATTGCTTACTTATCAGATACTGTGATTGTGGTGTTTCTGCTATCTCCGTTTGTGACAAAATACTATAACCCTACAACATTAAGCATTGGAAAAATAATTACCGTTTGGCCTTTCAAACCATGTAATCAACCTGCCTAAATATATCACAATGTTCACCGTCGTATTAGATATCGTTTGTTGTGTCTTTTATCTTTTTGTTTTGAATCTAATCTCTCTACTTGATAATTCAGTTTGAAGTTTTGCCTTTTGAGTACTACATTGTTGTTTAATGTGTTTGCTATCTATTATATAATTTTGTATCTCCCCTAGTGCTATGTCTGCTATAATCGCTTCCAATGCGACTATTTTCAACAAATTTCCTTTGGGACTATTACTTAATATCCCCGTCATCTGACAGTTATCTTCCCGTTTTGCATCTTTGAGGTTTCCCTTTGTTATATAAAAAGTAGTTCATTAACTTTGAAAATAAATAACATTGTAATATAAAACAAAAAATCACAGGAGGCAATGCGGAAAAAATAGTTGTAAAACTGTGATTTCAGTACTGAACCTTTCAACCTTATCTCATTAATTATTCAACTCTCCTTACTTCCCGTTGAGCGTCACTCAACCTCTTGGTTCCTACCAACGCCACGCCGTGAAGGTACGAAAGCAGTCACTTAATAGCTTATTACAACTACTATATATGCGTATTGATTTGGGGAGTCATTGCATTATTCATTGCCTGTGACTCCACACAAGTATTTATGGTCCATCATCCTTTTTATACTTGCTGGTCCAGATATAGTCTGGTGGTGCTAGGTTCTCCGCTGGTTAGCAGGTTCTCAGTCGCCTCAGAACGTATCGTAGACTCGATCAGATACATCTGGAATATTTTTCCACTTTCAGAGCTAATCTGCTGACGGAATTTATCGATCTTTCCTGTTTCAAGAGATTTCATCGAAAAAAATCGACTTTTAATGGCTTTTTTTTAACAAATGCAGGTTAAGTGGTGTACAAGCAAAACAAAGTATGTCAATAAGTGCGGTATATTGACCGACAAAAAGGATATGTTATAACAGGCTATAGTTTGAACTGGAAGTATGTCAAGATAGGTAAAATTATTGAAGTTGTAGAAACAGGGTAGACTGGAAAAAGTACCCTTTTCGGCAATTGCTATCATGATGCACCATTAGGAAAAGTATACAGACCAGAAGAAAAACCTCGATTTTACAGGGAGCCAAACACTAGTCGCCAAGTATGATCATCCAGTGAAATATCGCAGGTATATTCGTTCTCGAATGTAAAGTTACACAATATTAGACTGTGTAGTTGTAGAAGATGATAGATATTACACGATTAAGTCTGAAACCAGTCACGAAATTTGCCACACAATGAGATATTTATTGCAACAGTTCATGATATATTTAGGAGACCACTTCAAGTCTGATGCCATGCTCACAAGGTACCTCATTAGTGTTTTGTAATGTTAATCGGTAGTCTGGTACCCAGATAATCTAGTGTCCCTGCTATGTTTGATAGACCCACAACAGGAGGCGACGGGTCAGTGGTCTTCTTCTTCAAGGATTCATTCATCTTATTTTCAGTTTTTCAGTTTTGTCTCCAGCGATATAATATTGCCAGCTTGTTTATGAAATCGTGATTTCTTTGATAATAAAGTAACATCTTAATGAAGAGTATAGCAGTGTACATTGCGTTCCTAATCAATCAGAATCAGGAAAGGTTGGTACCCGCCTGTGATAATAACTTGATAATTCCACAGTGAAAAAGACTCATTGAATGCAGTTGTTAGAATTTAATATCCGACTGTGAAAAGTTGTTAAAAGTGGAGAACGTGCTATGCGAGGACAATTATTTTTATAGATATTAGAGAGTCGTTTCAGATTATAATTTGAATCTAGCAGGTTTCCAATATTACACTAAAGCTGTACTTCCGGTACTGAATTCAATCACGCATTGTTCCATAAGTGAAGTACATATTTATTGCCAGCTTACCAGCATTGAAGTAAAGGATTATATCACTGGTATATAAGATATATGTTTTATACAGTAAACGATCTTCGTTTGATATATTTTTTATTTTTTTTAGTTATTGATCAGTCACCGCGCTAGCGCAAAATGAAGTCTATTACTGCCTTTCTGGGTCAAATGGAGTCTGCATAAAAATGTAAATATTTGACAGTCATTCTTGTCACAACAGCAAAATGCTAATATTTTAGATCGACGACACCGACACAAAACAGGTGCCCGATGTTGCAACATTTGACTTTCAAATTAAAGGTCCGTTAAGGTGGCAAAAAACAGCGACTGAAAAATGTAATAGTTGATAGTCCAATACACTGCAGATTGTTGCAATATTTTTAACTTGTATTCAACGGGCAAATGTCCGTTAATTGTATCTGTATTTGAACGTATATTAAAGGATCCATACTTTGGTGCGCGCGCGTGCTTCAGATATATTAGCTCACGATTTTTCAAAGGGAATGTCTTTGCAGCACAAAAGAACGAATACAACCAAAAATAAGAAACGCAAAGTGTTTCCATTGGATACGGATGGGGCCATAAAGAAGAAATAAGAATGTTATGGAGGTGTGTTGGTAACACGTTCAATGAAGGTGATACCCAGTGGATTGATAAACTGTTTCCCAAGCGTTTGTTTACACTCTCAAAACATCTCGGTATGTTTGTGGAATGTTTTCGGTAGAAACATGTGAAGCCGTATCGATTGCTCAGTAAGTTAGAGTTCTCCCCGGGGTACAGAATTGATATATTACGGGGCGACCCCTTTACATCAATCCTGGTCGACATCAAAAAATGAACGGTTATTTCCCCCTCATTTGCTCATGTCAAGATGTATCCTTGAATACATGAGTGCCACGTTGGGACCCGTACACAGGCCATATAGGAAAATTAATGTCATCAAATCACGAGTTCGTCAATCGGGCAACCAAGACTGTTCCGGGGTCGAGGAGTCGGGTTTATTTAATTAGACCGTTCCCCTGTACAATCGTATGGCTGTTTCACTGGCATCCTGGACACTTATTAACCTACTGACGTCTACGGTGTTTGACAATAATGATTATTTTTTCTTCCAAGTCATTTGGAAAAGTTTGGTTATAATGAGATGAAAGTAGGGTAATTATGACCGTAATTGTCTTCCCAGACACATCATTTCTTCTTATCCACTACTGGAACGGGTAGTAGAAAATCGTTATCAAATCACCGAAACTGTTTTATCCAACTTTAGACACTGTTACAGGGATGTTCCTGTAGTCTTGCGATATTTAGTGTATAACTTGTACTAGTTTAGGAAGGGACTTTAACTTGTTGTGTTATCCCGGAAGTTCACATCCAAATAAATAAGGGTTTTAATAAATAGACATTTCATTATTATATGAATATAACTATTTTGTAAAACCTCAGGGTAAAGATCACACATTTTCCACTTTGTCAGTTTATTATATAAAGGTTTATAGTTCTTTTTTTCCGTCTCGCTACCAATTATTGCTTTTGTGTAATACTTAGCCATTTATAGTGTTTCATTGTCTTTGCTTAATTTTAATTTTTCTTAATTTCTGTTGCATAACAGCCTTGACTTCTGATTTTTGCCAATGTGTTCTCATGATACATTTTCCCTCTGTTCTATTTTACCTTCCAGCCGTTGCATATAACCGTATGTTATGACTTAAAACACATGTTTTATAGTGGCTTGGATTGTTGGAAATCCAGATGACCTTTTATCAATTGAAAAACACCTGTCAGGTACATTGATAAACTCAATCACATCCTCCATATTTCAGAAGTTACGCTCACTTTTGTTCTCAGCGTCTCCGAGATATGTCGTAGCAAAATTATTTGCACGCGGCTAGCTATTTGATTGGTCTCAGGTGAAATACCCTGACCAATCGCTGGGTTGATATCTTTCCTTTGAAGATTACAGAGGAACGGCATCCGACTTAACAGTCAGATAATGTTAGCGATACGCGACCGAGAGATCCTTTTGATGTATATCATAGAATCAAACTTGTCTACTCGTCTCATCCACATCTCATCTGAGCCTTCAATATTGCTACGACATATTCCAGTGATACAGAGAAAGTGAGCGTAACCCCTGGATTATAGGGGACGACTCAATTACAGGTAAACTCGTGACAGGTGTCACTTGGTTTTCAGGAAAAACCTATCCTTCCTGACAGCATGGACTCGCTTCTGTTATTGTCGGATTCATAGTGTACTTGTCAGTTTCTGTTTCCTTTTCGGGTCGTATTCATGTGTCGATGCTTCGTTGTTTGTTGACGCCTAGATGAAAATATCTTTTTCACTCTTTATAAATGAGGTATAGTAATGGGTTTTTTTCTGTTGTTACAGGGTATAGCGCCAACTTCCACAAGCCGGGGAACAAGGTGCTGCTCCTCCACTGTCCAGAAAACTACATCAACGCCACGACCATGAGTGAGTGGTTTCCATAGCAACTCGTTATCATCACGTGTGCTTTATCTGAGCAGTAAAAGTATTCTGCCAACAAAAGTCTCATAATCTTAAACTTGTTAACAAACCCGTAATTATGACCAAAAATCGATTAAACTTAGGGAAAATATGAACCAATGAAAAATGTGCATGGGCACCACTGAAAAACAACAAATGAGAATAAGATCAGCAGTCATGCAAATATATACATAGGTCAAATTCTAGTGGTGTCATGTCTTTATAGCTGGAACTGTGATAGTGATAACAAAACCACAAGCATTACTGACGAGCATAATAAAAACATCAACCTTAATATCACGCAAGCAAATAGCATATTTCCCTATGAGATCATGATAAGGACAATAATACTTGCCCATTTGTCTTCATCAATGTGCATCTTTGGAGTTCTTGTGTTGTCAGTTTATCTGTCAGCAGTTGACAAAAATTGGAATAGAGAAATATGATGTAACCTGTAGATGAATGCAAATACAGTCACATGGAAACTTACAAGAATACGGTATAGGTCGCACAATATTTATGTTGCAAATATATTTACGTTTAAGATAGTAATTAGGAATTCAGAAGGACTTTTAGAATCCAATTATGAGAAACTGATTGTAGGGTAAAAGTCAGCATAGTATCAAATAGTGTCGGTACTATTGCATGGATATTGAACGGAAGTCCATTTGTGCTAATTTCATTCTTGGCGGCACCATTTGACTACACTTATTTGTTATGGCCTTTTCCGAGAAAGAATTACATTGTAGCAATGAAAGTGCTTTCTCACATACTTCACAGGGTGATCCCGTTGTTGCTAGGGAAAAAACTCTATCTTACACGAGGTAGGGAAAGACAGCTGACACGCGCTATGACATTATAATAATGGATTGTCGACGTGACGTTATTTTATTGTTACCGTGATGTCATACAACCCTAAAGCTTTGGGTTTGCCGGAAGAATAAGATCGATGTTTATTTCGACTGTAATATTTTTATTTGTATGTATCTGAGAAAATTAATCAAACATGGGTCTGTTCTATAGACAGGGATATATCAACCCTCGTGTAGGAGTTAGGCTGCCCAGCCAAACTCTTACACTGGGGTTGAGATATCCCTGTCCACGGAACAGACCCATGTAAGATTATATTAGTCTATGGCAGAATGGTGCCGCCAGAGCCGTTAGTATGGGCGTCACGTCTACTTACCTTAGCATGCGTTAAAAATGTGGACTATCTAATGGTCTTCATTGTCTCCAATAGTACATTGCAACTAACATACAACCAACTTACAATGGACCTGACTGTGGTAGTATATCCCGACCTTATCCCACGCCGAAAGTTTCTTTACCTCCTAACAGGATCCATTATGCTTTGTTGTAATTCAGATACATGTATGACGTGATCAGCAAATGTCGACATCAAATCAGTACAGTTGTATATAACTGCCTTTTGACGCATGATTACGCATCATATTCATGATTACAGGTCCCGGTCGAGTGGTTGAACTACAGAGGGAGGTGGAAGGCAAGTCCTGCGACCTCAAGCATAAGTTTATCGAGAAGGCCAACAGATTAGGGGTAAGCGTATTGGCAACAACCTAATGTGAAAAAAACAAGGATTGAATGAAAAAACAAAAACATGTACACACAGTCATTTAGGCATGTTGTCCTCTTCCATTAAATCGTCAATAAAACAATAACTACCATGAATCAATTATACATCATACCACAGCACGTCATCGCACGCGCCGCAAACACAAGACTTTCTTGCAGGAGGTCATTGACAAAGAGTTATATTGGGTCGTGACAGGAAATGGCGTATCACCGTCAGTGATATTTAATTGAGGAAGATCTGTTTTTACGTACGTATCAGACATCGTTAAATTGATACGGCCGCTAGGCGTAACGTCTTGTTCACAGTAGGTAGGGTCTAGGAAGACAAACTGCGTACCGAAGGCCGGAACCGTCTCCATCTCCGGCACTTATACCGACATTTTATGTGTTAAACTCACGGATATCTAATGGCAAGCTACTGTGCTACTCAAAGTCATAACGAAAATAACAACTTGATTAGACCATGTCTAGTGAATGTCTATTTATAAAGAAAATTGGAGACTTTTTTATGTCTTGAATGTCTTCTTTTAGCTAAGGTCCCAAACTAGGAGTCGGTAAACTAGGGGAAAATTCAATATTTCTTAACAAAAACTGAGGAACTGGTAGCCGGTTTCCGCAATGAAAGAAATTAAACAGACTCCTGAAAAGGAAAGGCATTATGAGATATACAACAGCGGAGATGATATATTCTCTGGATAGGTCAGCGTTCGTGTACATGTATATTACCAAGAAACGTTATGATGTCTCATCAAATTTTAATAGTTAACTACTGACGAACTAAAATGTCGTAGTTGGATATCATGTCATAAACATTATTAAAAAAACGTCTTCAATGTAAATTGAAGAACCCCGGTAGAAAACCTTGCAAATAATATTCTACGTTCTGTTTAATCACTTGACCAATAATTTAAATGTATAATTAGGCAAGTATCGTCATATCTACCTTCATTTAAAATTCGTGTGTATATACTCTATAGCGCTTTAAATTCGCGGAGTCAATGTTTCGTGGTTTCGTATTCAGTACACATTCGCGTGGGTTAAATTTCGCTGTCACCCGAATCCCATGCATCGTGCAAAGAACTTTGGGTGTCATCATTGTAAGGGTTAAACCTCAAAATACCAAATACCGTTTGAAAACACTGATCCAGAGCGTCGTCATCCGCCAGTGACTTCACTCGAAAGAATATCAAATCTGTATGTATATTTGTAGGAGTAAACTGTTATAAATTAAACACCTACTGTGTACATATAAATATGTTGTGGCCACTTATATGTAAGTGTTGTTTTTACATGCACTGCTCAGTTGTCCGGTGATAATATGATTTGAGTTCATTTAAGCTTACATAAGAGCGTTGGGTTATAAGTATTTTCAACATGTTGTGATAAGGTCCGTTAAAGCGGTAACAATTTCGATAACATCGATGGTGTTTAGAATTCGCAGATATTAGTCAAAGCGCGAATATAGCGAAATTAACAACCCCCCCGCGAAATATCACCGCTATACAGTACTGCTTTTTAGCAATACTACATCAGATCAGGCTAGAAGTACTGTTTCGTTAGTAAACGTTTGAGTGATGAAAATACATTAAATACTAATTTCTTACCAAATTAGCTGAAGCTATGACGATTAATAAACATTTAGATGTATAATTTCTATCGATAGTAAGATTTAATATTAATATAAATGTTTGACGATTGAAAACAAAACAAAGATATACCAAAATGTTGAAACGTTCTCTCAGTTTAGAATGATAAGTCCGCAAGTAGTTACGAAAGGAAATTAGACTAATATGGATATTAGCAATCTTTTATTAGACCTTTAACTTTCACAAAATTCACATTTTGTTTGTGTCGCTATTTGAAGCAGAATTACAATATGTTGATGTTTCACTGTTATCTGTTATTATGATTAGTAGATTACGTTATTGTTACGAAAGTGCTTTAGTTCAGCAATAATATATATAGCATCTGTGGGTTATTTATGTTATCGAATTGCTGTATCGTGCCATTCCATAGAAGACATAAAAGGAAAGCGTGGTTCAGTTTCATGAAATATGAAATTATCTACGTGTTTGGTTACCGTTGAGAATGCTTTCGTTGTTGAATATGTTGGAATTTTGTTGTTGAATTTCATCTGTCGGTTTCTGTTGAAGAAGGAGTCGCAGTTTGACGTTGAAAATATGGACGGATAACATGTATTTTTTTGTGTTGCAGATAGAAGCGGAGTTTAAGGTGGAGTCGGCCGAGAAACCCGGCCACGCCATTGTGGAAGCGGCGACCAAGCATGAAGCTGCCTTCATCGTAACAGGGACCAGGGGGATGGGTAAGATCCGGAGGACCATCCTAGGCAGCGTCAGCGACTTTGTTGTACATCACGCGCCCTGCCCAGTCCTCGTCTGTCGTCACAAAGACAAGTAGAAGTCATCATAGACATCCGGGAACCCCCTGTCAGGACTTGGAACAGAGTCAGATGTTGACGCCATAAAGTTGTGACACCTTCTGTTCTATACAAACATTGATCATATACTAATTCGAACCGGACGTCGTTTGTAAAACCATGATGGCCGCTCCATCGTCATTACTAGACATTTGCTTTATTCAGTGTGTCAATTTAATGGTAATTTGCTAGAGAAAGAATGCATTTGGTATATTGAGATACAACACTATTCTCGTGCAGCATTATGCTAACTTATGTATCGGTTATAGAGATTGTAAGAACACAGATTACCATCAGGAAATGCAATATGGCGTCATATAACCGTATAAGGATATCATTATCAAGTGTGTGCGTATGCATGTAACGAGTGCGTATGTTTCAAAATCTTTATGGTATACTGTATGCAACAGATGTGTGAGGGAGGAATCCGTGTGGTGTAATGTCAAATTGTCGTTGTGACGTATGTATTTTATCGACCAATCAGAACCGTTATTGTGATATGTGGGTCAACGAAAAACACACGTGAATGCTTAATGGTATATTTGTTGTTAATCTTGTTTCCACTTTCCAACCAGTGTTGTATCGATTCATTAGCCATCATGGAAGTGACAAGAAATAATTGCCTTTTAAATCGCGCGTGAATGTATGGACCAAGCAAAAAAAGTATGCTTATTAGAGATGGTAAGATGTTAATGGTAGGCCGATGTTTCACTTATCAGGTGTCCATGTTTTCTAGGTGGTATTTGATATGTTGAAGCAAGTTTGAACAAAAAGCTCTGCTCGTTCAGTAAGTGTATTTCTGTTCCAACTAATACGTTTATCTAGTGTACATCGGTCTTCGTTTCGTTTTTTTCTGTCGAGTGATAGGATTCATGTATGTATATCGATCTGTAAATTATGATTACACGTTTACTAGTGTTCAAAAGTAGGATATATATAGAATGGTTTCCCGCTGTCGAACAGTCTTATCCTTTCAGCATATACTATGATACGTTTAGAACAATAGTTCCAGAGGCTGATAGTGAGATATTCCCAGTGTACAACAGTTTCCCCTTGCACCGAACAATTGTAATACTTTATCTGATATAAGATGGTTTACTGAGTGATGATTATATACTTCCGGTGTACAATGATTTGTTCTTCTGCAGCCCAATCAAAAAAAGAAAGAATACTTGTGGTATTTGAGTAACGACAGGTCATATCCGGTAGCTAGTGGTTCCGACTGCAAGTGGTCAATAATGAAACATATTTAACCACATAACTGTTATGTGCTGAGTTAACAATGGTCTTGGGTTCAACAGGTTATCGCTAAGTGTCCAGTGGTTGGTAATTTCTAGTTTGTAATACATTGGTTTCCTTCTTGTGTACATTTGGAGGGAGGATGCGTTGTCAGTGAACAGCAGCTTAGGACTTCCGGCAATAAGAAAGCATTTGCGATGTAAATTGATTTCATATTTCCGCTGTGCAATGGTGTGGTTCTCCCAATGTTCAAAGATAAGTCATTTCCAGCTTTTGAAGTTGTTTAGCACGTATGTTCATGTCTTCTGTGTACCATGTGCTATCGAATAAACTCCTTGTGTACATGGATCTGTTGTCGGTGGTCTTTGTTTATGAAAAAGTGAATTCCCNCCCCCGGTCAGAATCGGGGGCGGGGAGGTTTCTTCCATGTCTTCTGTTTTGGGGGCATTGAAGAAATCAAGGATAGACCCTGCTCTATCCCACTGGCTATGTGGTTTCGTAAAAGGCAACTAATGTGGGCTCCCATGCGGGATTGATGCATTAGAGGGTCTAACACTGCTGCCCCATTGCAACACTTTGACTATTTTGTCTTTTCCTATAGTTCCTGTAATCGTTCTTATCTACTTTCTGTTCCGGGCGGTGTCTCCCTGGGCACCCGACCTCATATGAGCTGTTGCGAGGACGTTATACCCCAAACAAACAAACTATAATAGTGAGTAGGTTCGTAATTGCCACTCATGTTTTCGTAATTGATAATGTAATACACGGTGTCCAAAGCGTCAAGGGGGAAAATGTGTTGAACGCTAGGGGAATGAACTTTGTACGGCAAGGGTTTGGTTTGGTTTGGTTTAGTTGTTTAACGTCCTATCAATATTATAGTCATCCAAGGACGGCCTCTCATGTGTGCAAGATGCATGCGGATAGTGTATGTGTGTGTGTTTTGGTAGGCTGCGAAATGTTCGTGTTTGTCACCTTGTGATAGCGCGGAACTGATGCCGACTGTATAGTGCTACCTCACTGAAACATACTGCCGAAGACACCCAACAGCACACTTCACCCGGTCACATTATACTGACAACGGGCAAACCAGTCGTTCCACTCCTAAATTGCTGAGCATCAAGCAGGAGTAGAAACTACCAGCAGATACAATTATTACGCCCTACCTTCAGGGACATGTACGGCAGGGGAATTAACTCTACAACGAAGTACACAATTGAATGGGTTTTTTCCTCATTATTTCAAACGGTAATGTATCATGTCTCTATATGGAGAGTTGCACAAAGACCACACAAAACCCCTCAAACTATATTGTGTTGTTTTCGTGTCTGTACACTTTTAGCAGGTTTTCAACATACTTCAACAAATTTCCGACTAAGTTTCTGAAACCAATGAATTTATGCTTAAGATAAGCAATGATGTCTTTAAATATTGCTTTTTCAGAATATCACATCGATTTTCAAACGTTTGGTACATCTGCGATATCAGTCATCAAACTTAATTCTGCGATGCGGTTCATCAAAGTGCAATTACAATGTTGTCCTTATTCCTTCAGCTGTCGCTTTCCTCTTTCAGTTATTTGAGTTATTTAAATACGTTTTACCCCTTTGTAAAGCGGAAGTTGTATAATGACTGCTTCATTATCGCACAAAGGCTAACCCAAGTCGATACGGTAATCTCGAATCTGATATAGGAACAATACTTAAGTAGAAAATGTTACATCATAGACGACCAAATAAACTTAATTTTGCACGAAACACGCAGGGCTGCAATTTCACTGCCGAGCAACTTCAACCGATCTGAAAGATGCAAGGATTACAAATAACGCGCCTGACATTGTCGTATATGACGACATCACATTTGCTAATGAGTTTTTTAGCTGATAAATGAAAACAAAACTGTCATTGAGGGAATAGCAATAATTTAAACTATACAATAATACTAGAACAGCTTTATTTCATGAAATTTGGAGACAAACATATTTGCAAGTAGAAAACAGATAGTCCAACATATTGCATCACCATGTCTTTCGAAGCAAATCCGCCTTTCAACCCAGCAAAAAAAATACACGGCACCCAGAAGAACGTCAAGTGAAACCCAGAAGGACGTCAAGCGAAACCCAGAAGGACGTCAAGTGAAACCCAGCAGAGATTTTGGCATCTGCGTCTGTCGTAGCAGTTGCTCTTTTTGACACCAAACACTCTTAAACAAAAATTGAGAATATGCATGACGTTAAACATAAAACGTCGTTCGATTCAGGTAGTCTTTTTAACGCATAGGTAAAGATTAATCAGATATATAAAATCCGGGTTACACTAATGGGTAGGGCTACATTACTGTGGAGGGATACACTAGTGGGTAGGGTTACACAAGTGGGGAAGGTGACATAAGTGGGTAGGGTTACACTTGTTGGGAAGGTGACATAAGTGGGTAGGGTTACACTTGTGGGGAAGGTGACATAAGTGGGTAGGGTTACACAAATGGGGAAGGTGACATAAGTGGGTAGGGTTACACAAGTGAGGAAGGTGACATAAGTGGGTAGGGTTACACAAGTGGGGAAGGTGACATAAGTGGGTGGGGTTACACAAGTGGCGAAGGTGACATAAGTGGGTAGGGTTACGCAAGTGGGGAAGGGGACATAAGTGGGTGGGGTTACACAAGTGGGGAAGGTGACATAAGTGGGTGGGGGTACACAAGTGGGGAAGGTGACATAAGTGGGTAGGGTTACACTTGTGGTAAGACTTACACAAGTGGTTAAGTTACACTAACGGGTAGAGTTACAATGTTGGGAGAGAGCTTGACATGGTAGGTATACGGGAGATAACTCCCAAGTAAGCGACATCTCTACTTCCCATGTCAGCACAATAAATTGTGTACATGTATACGTACCTACAATACAATAGCAGTACACAGATAAACCATATGCGGACCTTATTAGTGATCGAAGCAGAGACCCTAGACTTACTCGTCGGATGCTTATTGTGACGAGAGTTTGCCAAACAAATTACAATTTTTTTCGTGTTCGAGCAGATTATAAACGTTTCAGTAACATTATCGAAGTCAAAATAAGGATTTTCAGTTACCTTAAAGTTCAAAATGCTGCAGATATTTTTATCAGCAATTTCGCTTTAAAATCAAGCTCTAACGTGTACGTTCTTCCAGGTAAAATATAAATCAACTAAGTGTGTGTGCATACAAATCAGTTAGGTAGTTGTCCTAGTCGTGGCTAGTTTTATTGTATATCCTTGCTGTCACTGACCTAGACGTGACCTCACATACATTCTGTAGGACCCCGGTATTGTTAGCCTCCGATCCGTACGTAGTAAGTAAGGTGTCCTATATCCAGTACAGGTGTTTACAGGTGCGAGAAGGGTCGCTACACCATCTTAGGTATCTGTGTACACTATAATCACCACTCTATCAGTACTTGCTGCTAACCAGACAATATGGCGGACTCCAAACCCCCCGTGATACTAGCTGTGGACGGCAGTGACAATGCTGACCAAGCATTCGACTGTAAGTATAAAACATATCTAAAGGGGGAGATGTGGTCTTAAAGTTAAAGTCACAGTATTGTTCCCCCAGGATAAAAATATTTAATTATCAAGCTTATGATGTACGTTTTCTCCCACCCTTCACACGAACCATTATGATATGGGGAGACAGCCTCGTGCTTAATATTACGCGCTATTATGTGATGTCATAAAATTGAATGGCGATATGCATATACCACATTTCCTTTTGATTACAAACATACCGGAGTTGAGACAAAAATAAAATGTTCATCACCTTACCTCGAGGTTGTTACAGAAAAATATCCAACTCTCGGTCAGAGTCTCGTGTTATAAATTACGGGTTGGACATTTCTGTCGCATCCTGAAAGTAAGGTAAAATTCTATTGATTAGGTTTTCATCCCGTGTTTTACATTTGATCTCTCTTTTCTTCTCTCACTTCCATACTCTTTCTTTCATTCCGGTGGTGTCTCCTCAGACACCTGTCTTCATATGACCTAACTGTTGCAAGGTTTAGTAAACCACAAACCAACGTTTCAAATTCAGTGTTACCTCATCCAGTATATATTTATTTGCATTAATGTTAGAATAACTTTGGTGCAAAGCCACAGTTATCTCCCCTGGATAGATGTGCGTGCTATTCCCTGGGGTTATGCATAGGTTTTCTTAATCTTCTTTATAATTTTATCTCCCCCGGGGTAGTGCACCAACCTCAGTTTACCAATGTTTCCCCCGGGAGTACATCTACCTACACTACAATGTTGTCTCCCCTGGGGTAGTGTACCAACATCAGTTTACAAATGTTTCCTCCGGGGGTACATCTATCGACACTACAATGTTGTCTCCCCTGGGGAAGTGTACCAACCTCAGGTTACCAATGTTTTCCCCGGGAGTACATCTACCTACACTACAATGTTCTCTCCCCTGAGGAAGTGTCCCAACCTAAGTTTACTGATGTTTCCTCCGGGGGTACATCTATCGACACTACAATGTTGTCTCCCCTGGGGTAGTGTACCAACCTTAATTTTTACGATGTTGCCCCACTACCCATGGGGGTACACATTTCTACATTAAAATGGTTTCCCTTGGAAACATATATCTACATTACAATGATGTCTCCCCTGGGGTAGTGTTCCAACCTCAGTTTACAAATGTTTCCCCCGGGAGTACATCTACGTACACTACAATGATGTCTCCCCTGGGGCAGTGTACCAACCTCAGTTTACAATGTTTCCCCCGGGGGTACATCTACCTACAATACAATGTTGTCTCCCCTGGGGTAGTGTACCAACATCAGTTTACAAATGTTTCCTCCGGGGGTACATCTATCGACACTACAATGTTGTCTCCCCTGGGGTAGTGTACCAACATCAGTTTACCAATGTTTTCCCCGGGGGTACATCTATCGACAGTACAATGTTGTTCCCCATGGGGTAGTGGACCAACCTTAATTTTTCAATATCGTCCCTCCCCCAGGGGGTACATCTATCTTCACTACAATGTCATTTCCCCTGGGGTAGTGTACCATCCTCAGTTTACCAATATATCTCCCGGGGGTATATCTACCTACACTACAATGTTGTCTCCCATGGGGTAGTGTATTAACCTTAATTTTTCAATATTGTCCCCTCCCCCCGGGGGGTACATCTACCTACACTGCAATGATGTCTTCCCTGGGGTAGTGTACCAATCTTAGTTTACAAATGTTTCCCCCGGGGGTACATTTACCTACACTACAATGATGTCTCCCCTGGGGTAGTGTACCAACCTAAGTTTACAAATGTTTCCCCCGGTAGTACATCTACCTACACTACAATTATGTCTCCCCTGGGGCAGTGTACCAACCTCAGTTTACAAATGTTTCCCCCGGGGTACATTTACCTACACTACAATGTTGTCTCCCCTGGGGCAGTGTACCAACCTCAGTTTACAATGTTTCCCCCGGGGGTACATTTACCTACACTACAATGATGTCTCCCCTGGGGTAGTGTACCAACCTCAGTTTACAAATGTTTCCCCCGGGAGTACATCTACCTACACTACAATGATGTCTCCCCTGGGGCAGTGTACCAACCTCAGTTTACAAATGTTTCCCCCGGGAGTACATCTACCTACACTACAATGATGTCTCCCCTGGGGCAGTGTACCAACCTCAGTTTACAATGTTTTCCCCGGGGGTACATTTACCTACACTACAATGTTGTCTCCCCTGGGGTAGTGTACCAACCTTAATTTTTACGATGTTGCCCTACTTTCCATGGGGGGTACACATTTCTACATTAAAATGGTTTCCCTGGGAAACATATATCTACATTACAATGTCATTTCGCCAGGAAACGTGTTAACCTACATACCTGAATGCTGTATCCAAAGCTAGGGTTATCTTCTATAAGATGTTGTTTCCTCGAAAAAAGTGCATTCACATGTCATTGATTCAGTAGTGTTTACCCTATTGTTTTTATATTATCTCCCTAGGGTACATGAAGAATTTCTACAAGCCCGGAGTCAAGTTGATCCTACTTCACTGTCCGGAAATATACCTCTACGACTACAACATGAGTACCTATCTATTGATATAACATTTCTCTGTACTTGGAAACACCTCTGGGATGACTTTTCAACATAATTGTACTACTGTTAAGTTAAAAATGAAAATGAGCTGCTTTTTTCAAATAAAGAATATTACTATTGTTTGAAAATATCAATTGCATCAAAATCAAAACAAGAATATCAAGAGAGGTTTGAGGAACTTAAGAACATTAACACAGTTTTCACATAAATATTCAAACATTCGCATGAATATCGAGAGGGTTTAAGTGTTATAAATGCATTTCAGATAATTTTATCTGTGCTCACAGGCGTACGTACAGTATTTAAGTGTTCATTTATTAATATGTATATATAGGATCTTACATGAGTTTCCATTTCATATGAGATTTATGAAACGAGTCTAAGAATTTTCAATTTAGCGAGACTTTGGCGAGCTAAAATGAAAAATTCGTGACGAGTTTCATAAATTTCATATTAAATGAAAACGCTCACATAATCAAGATTTGTGGCATTTGTTCGTGTAAAACGATAATTTTCATGCAACCTTGAAATGTATACTCCAGTGCGTAAGTCTGTGACGTCGTGTACTTGTCCGAGGCGTGACGTCACAATGGAAACAATTTAAACTTACAATCACTCACAGGGCTGATAGGTCATATTACATGGGTTAATACGCAAACAAATATGTCCTGGATAAAACAGCACGTTATGTGACAAAAGAACATATTACGTATAAATATACGAACATTAGTAAACACATACATGTAGGACGTTACACGTAGAACTAAACACGTAAAAGAAGACGTTCTCAACTTTTTCTTGAGTATTCCCATACTGACACTCCGTTCATTTGACTTTTCTATCTCAGGAATGTGCAGTCATAGGTATACCCTCTCATCGAAATGAGCTGAATGTAAAATATAACTCAGTGTTACTTCAGCAAAACTTGAACGTGATCCACATTATCCACAGGTCCAGGTCGAGTGTCTGAACTCCAGCGAGAGGTCAGTGAGAACACCACTGCGTTAAAGGATAAATGGGCAGCCAAGACTGCGGGAGCCGGGGTAAGTGTTTGGTAGACCGGTATACATGATCCTATACTGGGTATACTAATTACAGGTACACATTGATACAGTTAAGTGTCTAAAATTGCAGTGCAACACAGTGCAACTATCATTGCAACTATCAACTCAGTAAAAGCAACAGTACTGTTTTTTTTTCATTTAAAAGCCCAACATTTAAACGTTCAGGCGTTCATCATTTATGTATTTTCCTTAATGATGAAATAATCTTGAGAGTACAATCAACATTCCAAAATCTGTGTGATAACTAATTCGTATTGTTTCCTGTTGCAGGTACCAGCGGAGTTTATGATAGAATACTCACAGAAGCCAGGTCACGCTATCGTAGATGTTGCTAATCGGGCTGGGGCAGGCTGCATAGTGACAGGCACGCGTGGACTCGGGAAAGTCCGGCGGACATTACTCGGTAGTGTAAGCGATCACGTGATCCATCACGCCAGTTGTCCAGTCCTGGTTTGTCGTACCTAAGTTCATATATGATTTGGAATATTGTTCTCAAACTAAGCTTACCATTAACAATACGTTCAGTTGCGTTTTTCTAATGATCGCTGGAGAAGTAAAATGTTCACGAGATCAAGGCCACATGATGGAGATGAACGTAACTTCCGGTGCAAAGGTTAGACCAATCTGTTGTATGCGCCCAACATTGGAAACTGTGGTGACTTATGTAATAGTGACTACCCTGTATAATGTGATGAACTTTCATTACACTTGTTTTTCAGTGTCGGTTTGTAATCGATGGTCTGGCTTGTTGCCCGGGTGATGTCATCAGACATGTTTGAAGTTTCCATTACAGAACCTTTATTCTAAACGTAACCTGGTATGCTATAATTGTATGTCTTTGTGGCATAGATGAGTAAATAATGGAAATATGACCAGAGTTATTTTAATACTTAAAGATACGTCATCGTGTCTGAACGTTGCTAGGCGACGCTATCAGAAAACAGAACATCACAAACCGCTCCACATTGACAAGGGTGCGTTAGCTATCTCCTTTTCTACGTCATGTATCCTTCCTGGATGTGATCTGATCTGGCTTCAGTGTGGTCGTTCAACGTTATTGATGAATCTCGTTAGATTGATTATATTTTACTCCTATCAGCATATCGGTGATTTATGTACCGTGTCCAAGTATATTTTTTTAATCTTACAAATGTTCACATTTCATATTTGGAATGCTTCATGCTGGCATATTGGCATGACTAAGCAAGATAAAACACTGCACTATGTAAACGGCACACGTAGATAAACGTTTAAGATTAAATCCACAAGTGTAATTAAAATATGCGGCATTAAACACGCCATCTACATGTACTACACCTCTAGATCTGTGTACGTGATCCATGCCATGTATAATGTATGCCTTCCACTTGTGATATATAGCCTGTGAGTGTTTTCAGACCACCAGATTCACTCTGATATATATACAGCGTAGGGCCAAACACATTTGTTTTCAACCAGATTTATTTTTTTCATGCAATTTTATACTTTTTTTTAAGTGTTACCGGGTCTAATTGATACATTTCTAAACCATTATATCAAAATAATTTCATACACTTGTATTGACTCGATTTCGAGGTATGGCAATTTTTTCAGATGGGGTCGATTTTGCTGCGCCATTTTATTCTTCGTCTTACAAAAGTATGGCAGAAGATTTGTTTTCCCGAGAATAACTTGCTGTATCTTACAAAGCATTTCACGGAAAACAATATTTGAAAAAAAAGTTCAATCCCGATTATTTTCTTTCAGCACGTTTAATATTATTTTGGTGGTGCAGTGATTTGTTGACGGAAGATTTAAATCAGATCAAAACTCAATTAGCAGGCACATGCATAGGCGACCCCAGGTATATATGAGGAGAGCGAGTTTCTGTTTACATTTTATTTTCTAAACAATATGGCCTCTTTTCTATTGAGGACTCATCAATGACTCATGTCAAAATAGCCTAATCAGGCCCAATGGTGCCATAACTCCTTACACAATATCAATTATATGAATTTAACCAATATTTCACTTTTCATTTACGACATTGTAATATGAGTTTAACTGAAATATCCAAGTTTTATGTACATGTCTGATTTAGACACTGTAGACATGGGTTCTCGGTTAATATAAAGTCTGGCCCTGTCATTGTTTGTACGTGACATATTAAGCAATACCATCTGCAGTATAATTAATTATTCAAACTAATCTTACGTTTTTGCTTAGAAGAAAAGATCAAATCAATTAGTAGCTCTCAGTAACATGCATGTGGAAAAGTGATAAAATAACCTTGTTATTTTTGAAAGCGTATCTTTTCACTCAGTAATCAGTTATTGTTGTCAAATATAGTTCTGATAACGTGCGTGGTCACATTCCAGGGCGAGGATATACCAGTAAACATTCTCATTTTCAAGTATTTAATATTTCTTTGCTTATAAGTGCTACATAAAGATTTCAATAAATATCCTATTTACAAGTTTCCTAAATGTTTCATCAGATATACTTCGAATTAAAATTAATAAATCCTTTTTATTTTTTTTTACCTTTCGGTCTATCAGTACAGTGCATATATTGCTACCATACATTTCAAATAGAACTATGAATACATACATGTACCGGTATACACACTTAGTGGTACAGTGTAGTGTTCTATGACATGTTATAGTGTGTCTCCGTCGTCTTGTGCTACTAATTTTGATCAACTTTGCTAGATACGTCATAAAATTAGACACCTTCCAGTCTTTTACAATGATTAAACTGTATCTCTCTATCTCGGGTTCAACATGTTACCTACGGAAGAAACAAAACCATGAAGCTGATTTCATATAAAATACAGTTTTTAATATTAAATAAAACAGATCCTTAGTAATTCCCTTGTATTTTCACCTCTTCAGAGGTTTGTAAGAGGATCCCCTGATGAGTTACTTAGAAACTCTCTGTGTCAGTTCTCTTATGTTTAACCAACACAAGGACTGTCGATGTTATTTCATTTTCACGTTTCACAAGAATTTTACATATTTTATTTTGTTTTGTTTGGTTTTTGTTATTAAGTTTCTAATACAAGTCAGTAAAGTATACAAAAAAGTACCTATATAAGCAAACATATTCTAATACATGGCCAATAGATACCATTTGTTTTCCTTAACCCAATTTTCAAAATTGATTTAAATCAATTTATATAAATATATATATATATTAATACGAGGGCCATTCAATAAATTCTGTCATCACACAGGTCCCATACATGAACGAAAGGGCGATGAAATAGTTTAGCGCCGTTACTTACTGCAAAAACATTTTTAGAACAATACACGTGTACATTTTGAAATCATCCGACAAGAATTGAACAAGTTACTTTTTGTTGAATGGTATGTACTCGTTACTTGTGGCTATTTTTCAATGATAAAATGAAGGTTTAGACTAAACCTGAAATAGACCCCTATAGCAAAGCACAGTGTGATGTATAGATACTGCCAAAAGAGATACATGCAGAGTTGTGCAGCAAAAAAGGCATATCAGTCGTCACATTTGGAACTGTTTTCAAGTGGGTGAACAAATTCAAGAATGGTAAGTTGACATCAAAGAGGAAATACGACCAGGAAGGCCAGTTTATACAGCATTAAAGAAAAGCATTGCTGCTGTGCAAGCGATAATGAAGGATAATGGTCGTTTAATTGTTTCTGTTATAGCTCATATGGTTGGCATTTCAGGAGGCAGTACACATCACATTCTAACCAAGTGTTTGAATGTAGAGGAGCGACGTGCCCGATGGATACCTAATTTTCTGACATCTGAACAAAATTACAAACGTCTGAAAATATATGCTGAAATGTATTGCAAGAGTACGGTAATTGCGACGTAAGAAAGCTATCTGAGTTACAGGTGATGGGACAGGGGATGAGACCTATGTCTGTTACACTTTGAAACCCACAGAGGTGCATTTTCAAGAAAGGCTGGTGATTGCAGGACATATAAAGTATCAAATACGTTTTGTGTGCAATTTTATTCAACTGTAGTTCGTTATTGTTTTATTGTTCAGATACCGAGCTACGAAGGGAAACTATCACTGCCAAGTTTTACAAAACCAAAGTACTGTAGCCTATAAAAAAAACTCAATAGGAAAAAGCTTCCATATTAAAGTATTGAATGGCATTCAGCTACATATAATTCATGGCAACGCTGCATCGCTCAAAATCAATATTGTACAGGTTTTTTGAAGCAAGAGAAGTAGGTACAAATTGACCCCCATCCTTTTCACCAGATCTGAGTCCCTGCGACTTCTCCTTCTTTCCATTATTAAAGAAAATGCTCTCTAGGAAACGGTATGCCTCTAAGGAGTGCTCTTGGTAATGCTACCATCCTGTATCCCGCCAGTATACAAGTGTGTAGATACTGGTGTACTGAATGACATAAATAAGTTAACAACATTAACGTGTTGTCACAAGTAACTTGAAACATAACTTCCACTTTGCAATGGTGTTTTTCGATGTGGAAAAAACAAGAATAGCTTTGCAAGCCGTTTGGCATTTCCCCCATCGTTCAAAGACACCGCCATCAGCGTCCTAACAGTCGATAACGGCTACACTATTAACAAGTTTATCTTATTTTTAAGAGCATCTCATGTTTAATTGTGAAATGCATAGTATAGATGTTTTTTAAACATGACCAAATCCGCACAGAAACAACGATATAGGGAGGACAAAAGCAAATAATAAAACATAAACATGTGAAATGAAACAAATATTTCCGCCATACCGTGTTTGAGAAGGAGCTAATACCGAGTTCAATACTTTTGTAGATAAAACAGAAGAAATATTCCATACGAAACTAACCAAACCATACGTAACAGTTCTGGAACACCATTCCGACTAGCTTATAGTAGTTAAATTTCTTATTTATGAGTTTCAGCAGTAAGGGCAAAGAAATATGAAAGAAAAGGTGCCAATCTATACAACATGATGTATCATACCACGTCATTCACAAAAATCGTGTTTAACGTTGATATGAGATATCAACAAGAAACTGGTTTGAACAAACAGTAAATATAACATCAACACAAACAGAAGTTCTGACTTTCCCTCCCGCATAATTGGGATAACACAATACTGTGCCAGATCATAGACCAGTGATATGATTGATATACACGTACAGTTCGTACTGATAACATATCTGTAATAGTTTATGCTAACATCATTTTCATTTACAACTTGATACTTTGATAAATAAGTGTCTACGCAAAGAAAATAATTTCCTTGTTTGAATAAAACAACTTCCGATTCAATAATCGTGCAATTTAGGTGTAGAATACTTTTTTTGTGTGTAATTTCCCGTTTGATAAGCTATTGTTTGAACACTTGTTGTCTGAATAATTCCCATAGGGGTACACTTGCACTTCTGGGCATGGTGCAATAACACCATGTGACACGAGCTCACAAGCGAGGGGCACTCAATAGATACCAAATGTCATAAAAAAATATTTAAAAAAATGAGGATGTTTCATATGTCTTGTACACCTTAGTTTATTAATGGCAAGACAAAAGATAAATGTATTATTACACTGAGGTCGTCCGAGTGGGGTACCTCTACCTAGAAGTACAATGTAATGATTATTCATATAGTTTACATACTTTGAATTGTTGGGGTGTCAGGGAGGGACGGGGAGGGTCAGGTGGGGAAAAATGGGAATTACCTTCGGTTTGATTCACACAAGACATGTAGTAAACTTTTAATATTACACTCGAGTCACTGGTAAGTGCAATACACTGTATTGATTTATCTAGGAGAACATAATTTCTACCTTCGGATGTTTGTAACAAATATAGATGGGTGAATTAAATGTAGCATGTATGAACTGTAGAGGTCTATCAGACAGCATAAAGAGAAAAGATATTTTTGACCTATGCATGAATAAAAAAAATATGATATTTCTATATTAATTGATACTCATTCAAAAACATCTATGGAACGACAATGGAAACATGAATGGGCTTTAGACTGTCATTTTTGCTCCCATACTGGAAATAGTCGTGGTATTGTTATATTATTTGACAACAGTTTTGAATATACTATTCATCGAGACTTAACGGATGAGTTTGGCAATTTCATTATTCTTGACATTACAATTCAGAATAAAAAATTAACACTTGCATGTATATATGGTCCGAATACTGACTCTCCTGAATTTTTTCACCGTCTGAAAAGAAATATTGACTTCTTTGATAACGACTCGGTTATTATTACTGGAGACTTCAATGCGGTTCTGTCTTTTGAAAAAGATACACATAAATATTCTAGAAAAAAAATTAAAATGCAAGGGCAGCTATACTTGACATTATGGAAGAATTAGATTTAATTGATATTTGGAGAAATCAACATCCAGAGGTAAAGAGGTATAGTTGGTTTGGTCCAGGTGGAAAATGTAGCCGTTTAGATTACTTCCTTATCTCATCTGATCTTCAGCCTCTTGTCACTTTTTCAGATATAGGTATTAAATATAAATCAGATCATGCACCAATTATTGTTAAGTTAAAACTATATAAGCATGAAAAGGGACGAGGAACGTGGAAAATCAACAATGCATTGCTGCATGATAGAAATTATATTGAAAATGTTAAAAGTGTAATAAAGTTCTTAATGATTATGCAATCGGTGAAATAATAGATAACAATTTTGACAATGCAAGTTTTTCAGTAAATGATCAACTCCTGTGGGAAGTTATCGAATCGACTATAAGGGGAAAAACTATAGCATATGCAAGTTGGAAAAATAAGACAAAGAAAGAAACACTTTTGAAATTGGAATCAGAAATTTTGAAATTACAAACCGACCCGTTGAATTTTGAAAATCAAGAAACCTTAAATATTTTGGAAGCAAAAGAATTGGAACTATATCATTTCAGGGAAGAACGAATACGGGGACTAACGGTCAGAGCAAAGGCTAGGTGGAATGTGGAAGGGGAAAAGTGCACAAAATATTTTTGTCATTTAGAAAAAAGAAATTATACCGAAAAACTGATTCCAAAATTAGTTCGCAATGATGGTTCCGAAATTACTAATATTAAAAACATCTTAGAAGAACACAGAGATTGTTTTACAAAAACCTCTATAACTCCACTAATCCAAATATAACTGATGATCAAAAGAATACTTTTTTTTGTAATGAAAATCCATTTATTAGTAAACTTTCAGACAAAGAAAAAGGTCTTTGTGAAAGTGAAGTCACTGAATCAGAATGTGCAAAAGCTCTCTTTAAAATGAAGAATTCTAAATCTCCGGGTCTGGATGGCTTTACAGTTGAAATTTAAAGGTTTTTTAGGAAAAATTTAAAACGTTTTCATATTAATTCAATTACTTAGTTTCAAAAAAAAACAATTATCAATTGCTCAAAAACAGGGAGTAATAACCTGCTTACCAAAACCAAACAAAGCAAAAGAATTTTTAAAGAACTGGCGCCCAATTTCGCTACTGAATGTAGATTA